ATATATATATATATATATATATATAATACTTACATGCATAACTTTATAAAATATAATCAATACTTACCTTTACTGCTAGATTTTCTCCTAAGTCGTTTTCGTAACTTCCGTTTACGCACCTCAGTCTGTTGCTGTTGTTGTTGTTGTTGTTGTTGCTGTTCAGTATCAGATGACGAATTTGATTCCACGCTTAATTTACGCTGCCGTGATTGATGACGCAATGCTGTTAATTGGTCAAATTGAAAATTAAACAATTTGGCAATATTTTTGACAATACTTCTGCTATCATATCTAATGATCACTCCGAAAATTATTCTAAACTAATAATCAAGATTGATTCGCACTAAAATACGAAACTTTATGAATGTGAATAAAGAAATTCTTGCAAACTAGATTGAACCGGACACCTATCAAATTTAATTTGTGTAATGCTTTATTTAGAAATGATTACTTCTTCTTTTATTGGATAATAATCGATCATTTGATTCACGCTCACAAATACTTTCTGGTATCGGTGAATTTCGAATAACTTGATCGAATACATGTGATTTGACATTTTCATACATATTATTTACATTAGATTGTTGCGTGGAGCGCAACGGTCGCAATAACATATCCCTGTAATCAGTGTAATTTATTAAATCAAGTAAATAAGTCAAGATTAAGTAAATAAATTGAGAGCAGTGTCAAGAAAGAAAATAACTTACGTTGAAATAGAATTATATTTAGACAGCTTTGCATTATTATATGCACTTGGCCTTGGTCGAATCGGTGAATGACTTCTGGAAAAAAGAAAAAAAAAATGTTCAGTTCCGCTAATTCCTAGAAAGAACTGTTTATTCTTTAATCCAAGTAGCATATAATATAGATGCTAGTAATTAGAATGTACAATCCAGCAAAAAAAAATAAATTACTCACAAAGACTGCTCTAGGTAAAATGACAGTCTGAAGAAGCGGGAAAAAATAAAATAAAGAAATTTCACCTTGACATGTATTCTGGAAATCGTCCTGAATTCCATCGGCTAGAGTACAAACCACGAGTGGGAGTATGTTGTTTAACGGATATCATAGAATTATCAAGAGATGACTTATCGCTGAATATTGAACAATCGCGTACTGAGAATCGATTATTCTGTCGATAAAAACTCTGAGATTTTTGAAATAACAGTTATTAATAGAAATAATTATTGAAATTTCATTCTAAAATCTTCAACAATTTAAAAAGAATTTTAAAAAAAATGGAAAACGATAAAAATATTCTTAGCACCATTCCTTCTTAACTGTTATTAATGTATAAAAATTTTAACAAATTGTTGAAGTAAATAGTAAGATTACCGCAGTTTGTTCATCTACATAATATGGTAGAATAAGATTACTGTAGTTTGTTCATCTACATAATATGGTAGAGTAAGATTACTGTAGTTTGTTTATCTATATTATATGATATAGTAAGATTACCGTAGTTTGTTCATCTATATAATTTTTCAATGCATTAAGTGAAGTTCGTAATTCATCGCCACTGTTGGTAGAATTGCGCCCATTTGGTATGTTGCTACGGCATGCTCGTATTGTTGTAAGCGTTGAATGTACTGCACCAGCAATTTCATTTCCGTGAACATTACGTAAACGTGCTGCATCAGCCATACGACGACGCCATGGGCGATCCGATTTGTGCGCTGCTGTATTCCCATGATTACTGCAACATTTGTAACGTTTACCTGTGTTACTTTTCGAGCTATTCAAATGAATTAAATTAGAAGAACGATGTCAATGCATAAAATATGATTAACCTGCTGTTGATCGTCTGCGACATATTATTTAAGAAAGGCCTATCATGAAGTGATGTTGAAGTTGCTAATGATGAAGATGATGATGATGACGCAGGAACTATATTTCGTACTCCTGATTGAAAGGATCGAGTTGCAGAAGAAGTTGATGCCCATCCTCAATTTTTCGTATACTTTAGGAAAAATATAGGAAAATGCTAAAATTTAGCACATCCGAGAAATGTATTTTAGAAATTTAAATAAATATAGCGGATTAAATTTTTATAAATTGCAAATAAAACAGTTATTATTTTGGTTATATTTAAGAAAAATGATGAAATAATGCAATTTCTGTATTCTAATAAAAATTAACTTTTGTGCATGCTTAAAGATGAGAACGGTATATTCAAAAACAAATTCATACAGATATCGTTTAAAATAATTTGACAGTGAATCGTAGAAAATATAAAACAAAAGATCATATGAAAAGAATTGTATGGCAATTAGGCGGTGATCGCAAGGAACTCACTGCTATTAGCAGTGAAAGCATTTTCTCGTAAATTTCTTGCAACTTTATTGTAACTTGCATTTCTTCGATTAGTCACTGAAATGTAACCTGGTATTATACTATCTTTACCATAATGTTATATCTTTAGCCTAATCTTTTGTAATCCTAACCTTTAGTAATACATGTTTCTAATCATTTAAAGATTAAAAGTTTTAAACAAGCCTAAAAATTAATGACATTTGTTTTTAATTAGCACTAAAATTTTAATGATTATTTGAAAATAGGGAAATGAGCAGATGAACTGATGTGATAGGCGATAGTAATGTATTTTGTCTTGCTATATAACTAAAAAAAATGTTCACAAATACAAACAGTTATCAGAGAGCCAAGGAAGTCGAGGAAATGTCCTGCTTGATCTTTTATCATTCATCACTGATAATACCGAATCTCCAAAACATATGGAACGTTCCCTTACATACAGACCGGAGTTCCTGTAATTTCGTTTTTTTTTTCTTTTTTCAATCTTTAAATGATGTATTTATTTATTTATTAATACATTTCCACTTTCATTAAAATTAAAATTATTTACTCTTTGAAAATAATTTTCAATTTGTATTTTTAGACATTTGTGTAATGGAAAATGCATCCGTTTGATTCTAATAATCATTGAATGAAGAATTGTTAAAAAGCGCTGTTATGAAAAGCACTCTTCACAGATAATTTAAAATCAACTGAAAATGATAAGAGAGAGAGAAAGAGAGAGGAAGCGATAGATGTGAAAGAAGATATAACTATCAGATATCCGTTGGATATATAAATTAACCTCAAAGAGAAACAAACAACAATTGTTTGCATTGAAAAACGATCGAGCAAGATGAGAAATATAAACCGAATAAATTGAATAATTACAATCTAATTTAATTTCATCCATCAGGTCATCCATTCTTCAGAGTAATGTATACATAATATAGATTAATGAAGAAATCATTCTTTTCAAATCTGTATTATACAATTCGCTGATAATTTCATAAGAATATTTTATATATCTTGTGAAATATTCAATATTATAAAATCTGTACTGTACAAAATCCTAAACAATTATCATTTAAAGGAATTGTGGGAGAAAAAAAAAAGAAATATTTTTGAGAGAACAAACTTCAGTTCGATGTTATTTTTGCTAACAGTTTGTGAGCCGAAACGGCCTAATGGGGGCATCGAATAAGATGACTTGGTATCATAATCCTTCGAGATTGATTCAAAAAATGGCACTGATCGATTCCAATATCCTTTACTACCAGTCCCACTACCATTTTCTAATGGTTTATTCCAGCGTACCGAATTCCAACTGCAAATATTTTCACTCAAATAACCGATTATTTGTGCGTTTTCAGAATTTCTTAGAAAGAATCAGTTTGAGTAAGGAGATAAATTTAACAAAAAAAAAAAAAATGGTGCAATTCCTTTTTACTTAAAGCTGTCCTCAAGCATATTTTTATTTCATTACTTTTTTCCATGAATAAACTATCATTACTGATAACTTCGCTATGATCTGAATTATTACTTACTTTGTTATCATCATTTATAAGTGTAAAAGCATATAGTATAAAGTATGACTCTAAAAGTATTTTTTGATCATGTAACCAATGATAACTTTGTTACTATCACTTGAGTATAGACTATAAAGTCTGACTCTAAAATTTTCAAATCGGCTGAGTTAGCTCTTTTTAGTGTCATCTCAATTTTTGCCATCTAAGCGACGCATATGAGGTGCATAAAATGAAAGATGCTTAAAAAGATTTGCATTAGCATATTTTCATTAGCATATGATTATGACAAATTGATTTTCAAATAATTTCATTATATGACCTGGTACCATAAGTATGCGGCGCAATAGCTTGTGTGACATTTTCGTTGCGCTGAATTGTCGTTGAGCTGCTATCATCATTACCAGCATTAGCCCATCGTCTGTGATACATTCCCGATGACATCGTCAATTAATTTCTGCTGTAATTTTTTAAAATTTATTTCAAAATCGAATAAATCAAACAGTTTTTATTGAGAACTGATATGAAAACATAAAAATTGTAACCAAATATATGGCAATATTTGTTTTCTCATTTCATTTTTTACCTGAATAGAAAAAGGTAGCGAACGCTTTAGTTTGCAAACCCTACAATGATGTATTGAAGAAGCCGATAAGCCTTCGGAATTTTTCGAGATGCCCCACACCGAACTCCGGTCCACACGATGATCTCAAAGTAATTGAACTTGGCGAACAAAATTATTTTATTCAAGAAGACATCATTAGCGCTAATAAGCTGATGTAAGCGAATGTCGTAATATAATGGGAAAGATTAAAGATTCCATTAATTCGATGTTTAGATAATTAACAGTCATGCATAAATGTTGCATTCAAACCAGTTTTTTAAACTAAGATTTTTAAAATACACGTTTATTGCTAAAAACAATAAATCACAAATAATAATTCTTCCGTAAATAACATATCCTAATAACATCTGAGCAATAAATAATTCATGATAAAAATTATCAGAGAAATTGTGAATTTTTCAGTCTAATTTATTTTATTCTCTCATTTAGGATCATATTTGTCACTAATATTTCCTTCCTTTCTCTTTCTTTCTCTCTCATCCAATCAAACAATGTTGAAACAATATAAAAATTTTTGCAGAACTTTTCTTTCTATTTTTTTATTTGTATTTTCTTCAATTATTATGCAATTTAAACTGATTGAAAGCAGTTTGAGAAATAAGAACATAAAGTAATGGAATCCAACTGGGAGAAAATTATCTATCAAAAATTTATCATGTAACAAAATTATACAGATCACTCGAAAAAGTTATCAATTCTTTTTTTTCAGATTTTATATAAATTTTTTTTTTCGAAATTTAATTGGCCTTCTTATTTGCAGCACTTTTCAGGACAGCTGATTACAATTTTTGTTGATTAAAAAATTCAAAAGTTTTCTTTTAAAGGAGGATAGATACTCTCAGTGATATTGGGAGATATTAAAAGTATTAGGAGTTTCTGGTATTGAATTGATACGAGAAATCTTGAGATATTTTGGTTGTGGAAAAAAAAGAAAAAGAAAACAAATAAAAATGGATCATAAAAGTGAGAAAACAGTTTGTGCTATGAAAATGAGCATTTTAAAGCTTTCGGATTAGAGATAAATTGCACATTTTAGATAGATTGCAAAGAAAAATAACTATCTTCAGGTTCTTTTGAATGAAGAAATGCTTCTTCTTCTCTTTATCTCTCCCATTCACTTCTCGAAGCTATTCAATTTCAAACGTTAAAACGATTTTGTGATATTTAAAGGTGTAAAGCTCTATCAATACTACAAAATAAAAATTCATATGCTTATAATTAGGCATATTAATCAAGCATGTACTATAAAGTCTGATTCTAAAATTTTCAAATAGCATCGGAGTCAGAAAAAAAACGATAATTTTTTTAAAACTTTGTAATCAATACAGTAAGCGAATAACAAAACGCAAAAGATGCTGAATGTCAAAAAAAGAAAATGTAAAATAGTTCGAAGGCATGGAGTTACCGAAAAATGAAAATGTTTCTTTGCAAAGAAAATATATTATACATGAACGGATCAGCGATCGGCAGATGATTGAAACATAA